TGGGTTTTGCCCTGTTGCCCAGGCTGGTCTTGAACTCCTGGACTCAAGCAATCTGCCCACCTTGACCTCCCAAAGTGCTGAGATTACAGGCATGAGCCATCAAGCACCACCTTAGTTTCCATTTTCATTGCAACTGGATTCATTTTTATGAGCCTTTCTTATTTAATTATAATTGTTGTATTTTTGAAATCTGAGTTTCGTCTGTTATTTAAATACTGCTTTTTTAATCATTCCTTAATTTCTGAAATTTAAAAAATGAATTTTCATTTCAGGCTTTCTTTATTTTCCTTTTCAAAATGCTTTTATTTGCAGATTTGTTTGTTCATATATTAATTTTTCTATAATGTTGATGAATTAAGTTTTGCTGCCATTGAAAATTTTATTATAGATTATTATATTGGCATTTAATGAGATTTGAAGGAAGGAAGTTCCTAGTCCTATTAACCCCTCTTCCATTTCCCAGAAGTTCTGTGTTATATCCCTAGAACCACATTATACAATGCTTGACCCATCATTGTGTGCAAGTAGCTGATTAAAACTTATTTGACAATGACATTTTTCTTCTCTTTTAGGGACTTCACTGTGATTTTGCATGCCTGATGTTTCAATACTTAGTAAATAAACCTTCAGAAGAAAGGGTCAGAGAGATCATTGTTGATGCTGTCAAAATTGAGCAGGTAAACCAGGAAGTTTGTGTAATTAGCACATCTCTCTTTCTCTGATGTTCATACCGCTATTAGATTGACTCATATGAAATTGTCATTTTGTAGATCAACAAAAATACCAGCAATTTTATATGGTCAGTCTGATAATACCAATACATGATATGTTACAATTATTATGTCAGTTTATAATTTATAAGCTAATTATAGTAGCTTTGTATTTTTATATTTTTAGTGACTGGAGAACAGTGATGATTTTTTAATTTGTTTTGTATTTTTAATAGCATAGCAAGGTACCTAGCTTGAAGCATACACAAATTTTTATAGAATGAATAAGTAAGTTAATGAATAGTAAGTTAAAGTATGTAAAGATTTCTTACCAGAAAGAGCTATATGCTCTACTTAGAATGTGTTTTTATCATTCTAAAATTACTTTTTTTTTTTTTTTTTAACACTGCATAGTTTAACAGGCATAGTTTGTATATTGGAAGAGGAAAAAGGCATAACAGGCACATTGGTATCTTTAATAATTTTGTCAACTAAATCCAAGTGGTTATTTTTATTTTTCCTCTATTAACACTTTACCACTGTAGTCTTTCAGTATGGTTGGAATTCATTTTATCTCCCAACCCCCAAATCTACTTCTGTCTTTTTTCTCATTTTGTTAATTGAGTTTTTCTCTCTTTTCTAGCTCGCTTCCATAGTTATGTTCTTCATGATGATCATCTTTGAATCTTTTTCTAGATATTTTAGAACAAAGTATCTCCCTTTTTCTATTGAGAAAGCATACCAATCCAAGTTTCATATCTGCTACTTTAAGAAATCCAGTAATTTGTTAGTTCGTTTCCATTTATTTTGGCTCTTTGAAAACATGAAAAACTGTGAATAGTAATACTCCAAACATTTTTTTTTTGTTTGTTTGTTTTTGTTTTTGTTTGAGACGGAGTTTCGCTCATTACCCAGGCTGGAGTGCAATGGCGCGATCTCGGCTCACCGCAACCTCCGCCTCCTGAGTTCAGGCAATTCTCCTGCCTCAGCCTCCTGAGTAGCTGGGATTACAGGCACACGCCACCATGCCCAGCTAATGTTTTGTATTTTTAGTAGAGACGGGGTTTCA